TCTCGTAACAAAAAATTTTGTACTGATACAATCATCAGGGATATGACGTGTTAATTAATAGAAATAGGGATGGTTTTATTTTTTATTAAGAATCGGTAGAACCCGTAATTAGATACAATTGGTCGGTTCACCTCTGATTCATTTACTAAATGGATCAATTTTGGAGCCATGCATCAAGAATTGGTCGCTTTGAATCAATTTGTCAATGTTACCTTGAGAATTGAAAGTGAATTAAATATATTATTTTTCTTTTTGTTGAAATATGAGGAAAACAAAATCTTTTTATTCTCTCCAAACAAAAATTTTGGGCTGGGACAATCATCAGGGCATGATGTGTTAATTAATAGAAATAGGGCATCTTGAGATACTTGTCGTTTAATCACCAATTTCTTCATCCTTAAGTATCAAGCACGACCCCAACCCTTAAAACTCTTTATGTAGCCCCTAAATAAGACAATTAACTCCCCAAAGTTATCCTTAAGTGACCCCAAGTGAAGGAGAAGGCAAAGGAAACAAAGGGAAATAGAAAACGAGAAGCCGGGATTGGCAGTTTGAGTAGGTGAGTATAACTCACAGTTTTGGAAGATTTTCTTTAATTCTTTTGGGTGTTTTATAATCTCTTAAACCTATGGACTTCCTTGAGATCATATTGGGATGTGTTGATGATTTAATGATAACAAAAGAGAAGTAATTGATTGCAAGAATTTGGGTCAAACAATCAAGGACCGAGATTGGATAGTTGCTGGATTTACTTATTCCACTGTTCGTATTATATAACAATTTGAATGGAACACATATTCATCACTTTGAATGTTTGTATATAAGAGTTGTTAGCATAGACGTGATTCTTAATGACCTAGAATTTGATTTGGTGGCATGCAAATAAAATGGAAATCGAAAATAATCATAGGGAAATTGCTTGATATTGTGTTTTTTGTAAAATGGACTGCCTTTGAAGTTTTAAATCCTTCACTTGTGTCAACTTTAGGGCATGATTACCTTTACATACATGTCATAGAAGTGTTGTAAAAATTTGAGAATTAATGGTTAAGGTTAAGGGAGTGAAAAGGGATTGGAAATGGATGGTGATGTAAACTAGAAAAACAGATTCTGTCCAATTGAATATTTGAATTATCTGCAATTTGTACATGTTCATTTGTTATCTCTTAGGCTTGGTAAGTAAATTTTAAGGAGTTCTAGGTTATTGACAACAATTAGTTGACGTCGACACACATAATTGAACTCTAGAAATAGTGATTTATGGGACTAGTTTGCAATGCAAATGGTAACTTGAAATGATAATGTAATCTAAATTAAGCAGGAGATTATGTGTGTGTGTGTGTGTTAAGGTTATTAAATTGAGGATTGTGTGTAATATTTAATCGTAATATAGGTGGTTTTTCAAATTTAAGTGAAAAAAGAAATTGATCTACATTCCGCAGAAGCGCGCACACAAGGGTGAAAGGTAAGTAAAAATTCATTTGCAACTACGATGCAAGAACATAGTATTTGTGATATACTAATATTATAAT